CACAAGAATTTAGAGGATTTCCAGACAATGTGAATAAAAAACCCAAATGTGAATGACTGAAAGAGAGTACGACCAATGAGCACATTTTTGAAAACATGGCATGACAGTTCGACAGAGGCATTCAAGAAGCCTAGGGACTGCAGGTGATGTTAAGATGCATTTGAATAAGGCGCATGGTAACAATGAAGACAGAACATGTTATGCAAAGGCATTAGACTCTCCTAATTTGGTTCAAAGGTTGGAAGTCATGAACAAAAATATTGAATCACTAAGGAGACACAATGCCTGGACCTCAATAGAACCACGTTTGGATGCCACAATCATTAAGTGCAGATGAGTATTCAAACAGAAGAGAGTGGGTGAGGATCAACGCTTCAAGGCACAACTGGTTGCAAAAGGGATCTCTCAGAAGAAAGGAGTTCACTATGATGAAATTTGTGCTTCAGTATCCAGCTTTGAAACCATGAGACAAATGTTTATAGTTGTTATTGAAAAGAATACTTCATGGATCAATACGATGTAAAGTCAGCCTATCTCCACAGTGTCCTGAAAGAAACTATATACATTAAGCCAGAAGGTTTCGTACGAAATGATGAAGATATATAGCACCTGATGTGCTTTCAGAAAACAGGATGTTTGTCTTTGTGAACATTACATTTATGCAATTTTTACCTATTATTAAAGTATAAGTAATAACAATTTTGCAGGTTAACAAAATTTTTATCTACCTATAGTACAAAGTACCTCAGAGACATACTACATTAGAGAAGCTAATAGTGATATATTTCTGGACCATAGATTTATTTCAGTGCCAAGTAAAATGAACTTGCTTGCATTTATTTAAAGTAATAACTTTCTTTTCAGTAAGATTAATCCCCTCAAATATAATAAAAAGACAATGAAAGAACCAAAGGTACACTTTATAGCAACAAATGGGAGGATCAGGTAAAGATATTGAAACACAATATTTAAGTTTCACGGGTTCAAGTTTGTTTTAAGGTAAATTTTATGAATTCAAGGTAGTTTTAACATCATATTACAGAGAAGCTTTTATTTCATTCATCGTTCTAGGGTAAATTAAAGTATGTTAAAGAGAAACAAAAAGCCTAAATAATTTTTTAATAAAGCCTTAAATGAGTGTCATATTACATGAACCATAATAAAAAGGTATTTTCCTTACATATCCTTTCATTGTGAGATCCCTGGGAGCACCAGCTACATACCAAACGTCATCATGAGAAAAAAAATGCCCTGATGAAACTTGATAGCCTGAGAAAATATTTGTTGCATCAATGTATATTAATGCAGTGGACTTGAGATAATAATTCAAGAAAAATCTTGTAGAAATATTTACAATTCCAAGCAGTGATATTATTTATGGAAAGACATTAAAGACACTTGAAATTGTTGACAAAATTATACATACCAAAAAGATCAAAATCGTTTATTTCTTTGTTATGATATGTGTTAATAACTGTTGGTTGTTTTGTACATGTCTTCACATTTTCACATTTCACCACAGATCCTAGAACAGAAACATCCAAAGATAAGTATGGCTATCATACTCCATATCTTTCTTAAATGCTACTATTTTTTCCACCTTTTAAGAAAATAGTGTTTGAAAATAATGAATTGGAAAATACCATAATCAGGTGGCCGAATATCTACAAAATTTTGTATTGAAAGTTAAGAGTACCAACCTTTCCAATTGAGAAATCCAGGAGCTCCCAGTAAGAGTTGATTACCAGTCTGCAAACAAATATGAGTTAAAAATGTCTAAATATTGTGTGATCTATTCAGTTAATTAATTTGATTTAGCATTTTTTTCTCAGGAACATGGCCATTATCTGTAGTGCCACTGTCTTATATTCGACTCAGGATTCCTTTGAAGGCTACCCCTGGCAGGAGTCATGGGGAACTTTTTCATGCTTGTGTGTCCTATTGGGTGTCCCCTGAAGTTTCTTAGTTTTGATTCCCACTGTATCTTGGCCAAGTGTCGGTCTCAGTTAACTATATCTGAGCTATTTGGTTGGGAGAACATGAAATATCATCAAGACCAGAAATTGCCACAGGAATTTAATTTTACACCAGGTTCTTGCCAGGATTCTTTTGCACGACATGGCTCCTGTCATGGCTTTCTGCCCTTTAAAAATCCAGCCAGGATAAAACATGCATTTTAGTGATTCAGAGGCAGTGATCTAACTATTCACCCACGAAGGTCCACTAATTTAATAATTTAATTAAAATAACTAATTATAAAAAACATACCTTATCACTCCGTGAGAAGTGAACTGAAATTCCAGACTGACTCAATGCATACTTATAAGCACTGGGTTTGGAAGAATCTTGATAGTAAAACCCTAAAAACAAATATATATTCCATCTTCATTAATTCAGTAATTAAAGATGAAACACAACTAAATCCAAAATCAACACAGGAAATTTAAATACTAAATGTGTGATCATCTAATTCAGAAAGGAGTGAAAATTGATAACATTAATGTATAATACAGAAATAAATAAAAAAAAGCATAGAATTACAAGCTTTGGGGAAGTTGAAGAAATAAAGAAGAAAGTAAATATAAACAGAGATATAATTGATTAAATGAAATACAAGAGACTGATGTGATATAGACACCTAAGACGAATGGAAGAGGTGTGATAGCAGTTGAAAATATTTGACTGGTCACCAGCTCAAAGAAAAAATGAAGGTAAAGGTAAACTTAGAAAGATGCTGTTCGCGAAGCGATGGCATCCAGACACCTCGAAGAAGTAGATGTATCAGCAGAACAACGTGACAAATTGGGTGCGGCAAAAGTCAAATGCTGTAAAACCTTCGTTGGAAAGAAAAATTTACAACTGATCCAGGTGTGCCAACAACAATAATAATAATATTTTATTTATTTATTTAATTTTGTTTGTTTGTTTGTTGTATGCTTGTTTGTTTGTGTGTTTGTTTGTTGTATGCTTGTTTGTTTGTTTGCGTGCTTGCTTGTTTGTCTGTTTGTATATTTGTTTGTTTGTTGTTTGTTTGTTGTATGCTTGTTTGTTTGTTTGTGTGCTTGCTTGCTTGCTTGTTTGTCTGTTTGTTTGTCTGTTTGTTTGTTTGTGTGTTTGCTTGTTTTGCTTGTTTGTTTGTTCGTTGGTTCGTTCGTTTGTTTGTTTGTTATTGTGTTTTTTTGGAAGTCGAGAGATATCCCACGCGGAAACCGTCGTTAGACTACTACGTGTGGAAGATTGACTGGAAGGTAGTGCTTTAACTCCTCCGCTCCTTTACCTTCATGATAACTAAGTAGTTCTCTACTATAGTCCGCTTCTCCGAACTCAACATTATGTCCATGTTTCGTGGAGTTATCACTTGTTGAAGCTTAACGTTACAAATATCCCTTTCCGCATCCATGTCTTGCACTGAAACTGTATGTTCTGCATCGTCTATATCTTCTCGACATAAGCTACATGCCAGACTTTCTTTAATCTTATAATCGTAAAGGTATTTACCACAGCCACCGTGTCCCGTAAAAGCCTGGGATACGTAATAATTTACCTCCTCATACTTTCGATCGACCCATCTCTCAATGTTATTGATGATGATGATGATGATGATGATCATCATCATCATCATCATAATAGTAGTAGTAATAATAATAATAATAATAATAATAATAATAATAATAATAATAATAATAATAATAATAATAATAATAATAAAATAAATAAAATTTAGAAAAACACGAGATCAGCAACATTTGAAAAACTACACATTTGATATCATTGCCTAGTTTGTTGGACAATATCATATTGAAATGTTAATTATTAGCAGATAACTTATCTACTGTATAATATCTTAATCTAACTATAACAAGTATTGTATTTCTAGGCCAATGACTGCATCTCGATCAGGTTTTGTTCAGTTATTATTATTATTATTATTATTATTATTATTATTATTATTATTATTATTATTATTATTATGGTCGTGGTGGTGGTGGTGGTGGTGGTGGTTGTTATTTACGAACTAGAGAAAGCATATTTGATTCCTCTGTATTGCCAACAGAATAGCAACTCACTCCCAGCTCTACTCTTACCACTACCACAACTACAAGGGAAAGGAAAGTTAAACAAAATGTGCACCTGGTGAAGCTACATTTATGTCCAGAAACAAAACAAGGGGCTATCTCAGCATTTGCTCAATGGATGAGGGAATCAGATGAGGGTTATTGACCTAGAAGCTGAAATAACACTTGTACCGGCACATTAAGTATTTTTTTAAATTATACAAAACAAATGTAAATTAATGCATTATATATAATCTTGTAAAAGTAAGTATTATTTTTCATTTTGATGTTCAGTATAGTCTCTAATTGTATAAAAACAGTTATGTAGCAGAAAATATTGTACTTTTAACTTAAATTTGTGGCCTCTGCTTACTAATCTCACAGTTATTATAAATTTGTTTCAATTACTATTATTTAGAATAGTCTTATGAATTGGTTTTTTAAATTTTGATAGATTGGGAAGACCATTGTACAAGGAAAAATTACTTTTATTGAGAAGATAAAAATAATTCCAAAGCTATCTTCAATTCTTTTAATGATAAAAAATGTACATTCTTCATGGAGTAAATTCCTCTAAAATAAATATTCTGTTTAAAATTAATTCATGTAGTAATCCTTTAGTTAGATAAAAATGATCCTTTTCTGTATTGACAAAATTTTTATCACTAAAACTTTCCTAAGAAAACATTATATTTTTTAATATATCTTCTGATGTCAGATAAAATCAAATCTACGTTTGATTTGTTTTACTTGGATTGATTAGCGTGTTTATTTCGCAAAAAAATGAGAATGAAGAAAATAAAAATAAATTAAGAAATTTTTTTATAAAAAAATTGCAACATTATCTTTTCTTTTACAGGGCTGTAATTTCACATTCGTATATTTATTTTTCACCTATTAAAAAGATGCAGAGTAAAATGGATTTTCTGAACCAAAATCACTTACGTTTATCCTTATTTGCTGAACTAGTAGGTGTCAAAATATTTGAAATTCGTGTTAGGTCATCATTTGATTGAAATGAATAACACGCTCCTGGAATATCTTTTGGAAAAGAGACATTCATCCATCGATGACCACACACCTGTCATGAAAAAATTATATTTAAGATTAGACATATATATTAGTGAAAACTGAATCTAACTTTCAAGAAATCTTGATTAAATATGGCATATTGTTTTCTTTTCAAAAATAATAGTAAAATTAAAAACTACACTTAAATTCAATCAAAACCTTCTTCAAGCATGCTGAAAGTAAAAAATATATATGTTTCATGTGATGATTAGAATTTTTCATTACGATCAAGATGTTCAAGTTAAGGATTGCGGTATCACAAGAGTGCTACTATAATACAAGTCTTCTCTGAAACTATGTATGGAAAACCTGTGTTCTGATAGAAAATCACAGTAAAATCACATTAAAATAATCTACAAAATACATTATACTGTCCTCCAAGAAAGGCCAATGATAAAAATATATGAACAGAACTGGAGAAATAGGTGTAAAGAAGTAAGTAAATTAATAGGCTATAATTGAAGAAATTTAATGAAGAAAGATTTGCATATGATATTTGAAAGATTAAAGGGACACAATTTACAAAATATTTATCATATATCCATTATTCGAGAAAGTCAATGACAGTTTGTAGCACCAATTGTTATGGAACAAAGTAATGCAAATTTTCACTTACAATGCAATTTTTAGGTCTGTTTAGTCAAGCAAATAGACAATAAAAACAAATTCATTTATTCCAAGAGTATTTAAAGTTAGATCTAGCTACTTATAAAATTTCAATATCAGATTTGATAGTTCTTGGCACATCATATTTATTTATCATAAATTAATTTATTTTTAAATGGCACTTAACACCTATTTTTAGTATCTGATTATTTGATGAAATTATAATGGAATATAGGGATCATGTAGCTCTAGGTTGAACAAGGTTAGAATATTCAAACAATGAATTTTGAATAGTAATAACTGTTTACACTTTTCTAAAGTTTATGGGGCAATTGACATGGTCCATGACACACATTTTTTACATTAGATATAGGACTGGTGGCAACCTTGGGACAAAGAAATACCACACAATCAATGTAACCTGTTCTTACAGTTCATGCATTTCTTTGAATAAATGAGTAAGATATGATCACTTAGTGTGTTATTCTGTTATTTCAACTGATCCTAAAATTTGTATTTTAAGCTCTGAATGAGTTTAAACTGTCAATAAGAAATAAGCCATTGGCTTCTAAAATTTTACATACCACAATTTGTCCTGTTATACCCGGTTCAAAATCCATTGCGATGCCAAACCAAGATTCTCTCGATATAGAGAAACCTTGATTTGAGAGTGACTTTCCTGTATCGCATTTAAGAAGTGAAAAGATCAATAAAAAATTAACAATTCTTTGTTACTGTGAAATGCATTTCCAATTATGAAACTGTGAAATAATGTATTTTCACTTACCTAATGATAACTGAACCCAAGGTTCACCAAATTTACAGTGGTAGACAACACCAGGTTCTATAATTTTCATTCCCTCTGTTGAAAAATTTCCACGTGGTGCTCCTATTTGGATCCTAAATAATTTGAGTTTACTTAATCACATAATTATTGAAATATTATTTCATTGCTCAGAAATACACCAACTTACCATGTTTTACTAAGCAATACAGAGTAACCGAAGTAGCTGCTTCTCCCAAAAGGGTTCCGAAAAGGATCTTTGTATATTAATGGGAAGTTAGTATCTACATTATAACCAAAGACCTTAATGTGAAAAAATAATAATAAAGAGATATAGTGCAATATTCTTATTGTCATTGTTGTGCAAAGTTTAGCTTTCAAGCCTGAACTGTTTCTTGAATGTATTATGTGAGATAATACCACAACGATGGCTTATCACTTATCAGGAAACCACATTACGCACTGTTCACCACATCAGGAAATGTCATTAAGGAAATTCCATCAAGAAAAGGAAAAAGTAATATAAACTCAGATCTAGTATTTTCTTATAAAATTTATTTGTTTTTTCAACATAATTAAAATATGTTTTACAACCATTCCTTTAATAAAAGCACAACCTTGGTAGAAGCTTCTGTAAATATCTTTAAGGATGAAATAAAAAAACATTTTCTCAGCTGAAAGAGTTTACAAGCTATATGGATATGGCCCTTTTTAAATTTCAATGAACAGCATCATTCATCTCAGTGATCTTCTATATCACAGCTATGAAGAAAATCAATTTTTGAATAGTTTCATAAAAATGAAATGTTATTGAGATCAGTTCTGAAATTAAAAATGAAGAAAATATTAAAAATAAAATGAAAGCCAATAGTAACATTTTTACTCATGAAATAAATGGACCGTAGTGTAGTTATAGATTACCTCAGATTCCTTTAAGGCTTTAAGTTCTTCCTTCTTTTTTCTCTTAAAAAATCCAGCCTACAAAATTATAACATTATTTAACAATTGGCTCTTGTTCAATCATCAAACAAATAAGAGAGAAAGTCGGAATGAAAACTTACCTTTGATAATCCTACAACTATAGCTGCAATTAACAAAATTCCAGCAACAATGCAAAGAATTATTATCCACAGAGGAATTGTTTCATCAGTCACTGTTCCAATGGCAAAAGAAGACACTGTTATATCATGATACCTGGAAAAACAATTTTCATCTACAACTTCTTGAACTATCCCACTGTGTTCTACTATTCATTTGATACTTACGACATTATATTAGGGCGCTGAGTATTGTTAGATTCAATCATTTTAACATGTCCATGAGTTGAAAATGATATTATATCTTTGTTTCCTAATATAGGAACTATAAAAAAAACATTATGTAATAAAATAATTAGTGTAAAAGCTGCTTTTCATTACATAAAATATTATTCTTATATAAATTACTTGATTGATACTTTTAGTTTGTTCATTTTCAATGGCTGTTCTACTCATAATAATGGACAAGAGTTCTAAATCTCCTTGAACTCTTCAGAAAAAAATTATTCATCTAGTTTCCTTGTTAATTTGAGAGTTTGCATTTTATCATCAGACAGATGTTTCTTACATTAACAACATTAATATATTACTGACATCAATGAGAATTTACAAAATTGTGCATTATTTCATCATATGTAATAATCAATAAATTCCAGTCATGCTTTGGAAATACCCTAATATGAGATTTGAACAAAAGATTTAGGTATGAACTTTAATAAACTTACCTAGTCTGGAAACATTGAATCTTACTACAATTTCTATTCTTGCAATTGTATTATTTTTAAATTCGAAGAAATTACACGACCATGTTTGGCACTTCACATTAGGCGAAGAACAGTTCACATAGAAAGTCCTGTTAGATGGATGAGTATCTGTCAAAGAAATACCTTCAGCATTTTTATTTTTAACACTAGATGCATCTTTCTGATAAGTATTTTGACCCATTTCCATATTTGCTTTTACTAATTTGCAAAATATAGATTTTCCATTCTGTTGTGCCTAAAATCAAGAAGAGATTAGATATGAGAAATGAGTTTGTAGGCTGTGAAATTATTGTTTTGACAGAAATGTTTGCATATAAAACTAGTGGAGCATACAGCACATATTTTCTCATATTATTTTAAACTGTTACTATTATAATATTGAATTTTGTATCCTACTAACTCTTCATCCATCTTTAAAATACTTTGCAGCAAAATAGGGATGTGAAATGTGAATTTGCAATTTTCAAGTTTTCAGAGATTTTAATCAAAACAAAATCAAAAATACTTTGTTCTATTCAAGGAAAATGTATTAAGCAAAAAAATGTCCTTTTGGATTGATGAGAATTAAATCCCTTCTTTCATATTAAAAAGACACAAATTGGGTAATTCTTGCTGGGAAGGTGCTAAATTATTGACATTGAATTTTAAAATATACCTCTAAAATAAATACCAATGTGCAAATTGTTCGGAAAAAATTGAAATTTTATGTGTTTTACAAATTCACAAATGTTAAAGAAAAAGGCACGAGAAGCAAGGAAATGGATAATGTGCTCTATCCTTGCAAAGATTTTAAAGAAAGCGTTTTGGAACTATTTTTGAAAAATCTCATTTATGTATTTGTGAAAAATTGTTCCAAGTTCATTAAAAATTATGCAAAATCTCTTAAAATTTGGGGAAAAGTGTACCTAATATGATTTAAATCTTTTGACAAATAAATTGCATTAAGAAAAATAATCTCTATATTTAATAATGAAGATCTGAGACAGTAACAAAAATTGAACCATTTCATTTTCAAAATTTATGAGATTTTAATTAAAGTAAAAACTATGCAAGTTTTTCAAACATACTTTGTTTTTTTATGAGAGGTGCCATTTATGAGAAAATGTTGGAAATGTCCTAAGGACTTCATCCAAAGTGCCCACAAAAGTTAAAAGAAAAATAAGAACTAAAGGTAAATATAAACTAAAAACACCAAGGAATATACATTTTGGAAAATCCTGTAAATTGTTTAAGCACTATTGTTGTCCAGAGATAGATTGACAGTCACCGTTTAAGGGGCAGTAAGAAAACATTTTCCCTCATAAAATATAGATTTTTGTCAAAATCTTCTCATTGTTATTGCAGCATTTCAATACTTTCTCTATACTTAGTATTCAAAAATGGAAAAATGAATATAAAAGTTTTTTTTTCTTGCTAAAATATTGAAGATGTCATAATCAAACCAATGTTTTTTAGTGCAAGATTTTCCATTCTTGGTGGACTAAATATTAATTAATATAAAATTACTTCTGAATCGTTGGCTTGTGACTATGTTTGATCATTCCCTTAAACAGGGCTTTAATCTTCAAACTTGCTGCAACTATTAATAAAACCATTACAATACTAATTGATACAAATGAAATGTACAGTATCTTTATCAAAATGAGCTGATGTTAGGTTAACTTCAAAAATTACAATTGATGCCATTGCAACATTCCTATTTGCAATTAATTGGGGGGCACAAGCATCATATTCAAGCCACCCTAGCCATCCACACTGCTCCTAGACCAACACTAAAACGGAATTGTTATTAAGTAAAAAAAAATGTGTGTATATATATATATATATATATATATATATATATATATATATATATATATACACACACATTTTTTTTATATATATATATATATAAACAAACCTCGACAGTTGGAGAAGAAAGTTGAATAGATGAACTTGACTCAAGCCATTCCACTGGAATTTGAAAAAATGTTTGAACTTGTCTTAAAGGACTGATGCCCACATTTAATACCTGAAAAGAGCAAATTATGTCAATGGCAAGGCACAAATAGAAATAATGATATTCTGTAACAAAAAAGACATTTTTAAGTTTTTTTAAAGTATCAAATTTATGAGATATTTGCAAAAAAGAAAGTAAAATGAACAGTTTCATATATGCTTATAAATAATCTCCTTCAACATATATTAAGTAACTTGAGAAATTTATAAGTGAAACAAAATTACAGATTTCATTCAGCCATGACAAGTAGCAAACAATAAAGTTATTAAAAATAAAAAAAGAATTATATTTTTTATAACTCTTTAAGAAAAATACTTCTTTTTATTTCTAATAAGTTAATATTCAGTGAAGAAACTACAGAAATGATAGTTTTGTCAACAATACTAAAGTACTTTAGTACTGTTTTGTCAACAGTACTAAAAATTCCGTTTTCAATTGGTTTAGTTAGTTTGTCATTAATTCACTTGTAATGTTATGGTTGAGTCCTGAAAATTATTCACAAAAACAATTATAAATTATTTTAAATATTTTTCTTTCCTGCTCATTCTGCCCATTGATCTTCTCAAGACTATATTTTTTGCAATATCAAATTTTGAAGCAACACTGCAACATTTAAAAAACTAAAAATGAATATATTAGTTTTTATATCAATCATTTTAAAGATTCTATGTCTGTAGGTATTTTATTACATAGTAAAAGAATTAAAAATAAATAACAAATATATTTTATCAATATTTCATTTCATATATTTCAAAAATCAAATCAAACAATCAACACTTTAGAGTTTATACTTTTATTCTGATTCATTTAATTATTTTTGTCAGGTGAAATTTTAATTACATCAATAATTTGATCAATACAGCAAATTGCAATTTACAATATTTGCAAGACAAATGTACAACTGAAATTCTCCAAAGTATTGCTTGTCTTGCTCAATGTTAGACTCTTTTGAGCATTATCCTTTTCATCCAAAATGTTGAAGGGTGTCATAAATTTTATCAGCACAGATGAAAAAACAATCAAGAATTACCTCGTAAATGTGAGTAAATGCTTTTTGTTTTTTTTCACTTTCACTAAAAAACTCATCTTGAACAGATTTTCTGCAACAAGTCAAAAAGTATAGATTATTTTTGATTGTTCTATAAATTTACACAAAAGATCCTCTAAAAATTCAAAACTTACCCTGTTATGTTAACATCTGCCATCATAATTAGATTCAATCTTATGTTGCAATGATTATTTCTTGGATTTAAATCTTCATAATTGTCTTGAGAGATATTTGCTTTAATTAATAATGATTCTCCTTTCTCTGACATTGTTCTCAGAGTCTCATAAGAAGACAAATCCAAACTTATGTTATTAGATTTCTATCATGAAAAGTGAAGTTAATCACAGTGATATTAAAATGTATTTAATAAAAAGTAACACATTAACATTTAACATAAATACACATAAGATATATAAATTATTTAATTACCATTTTCCCATCAGTAATAGGTCCAAATCCACAAGTTACTTCCAAACTTCCATTTTTTTTATCCTGGCACATTAGAGACATCTGAGCAAGTTCCACTTGTTCAGGAATATAAATTTTAACTTTTGGAGAGTAAAGAGTATCTCCTTTGTTATGTACATGCATCATCAGCTTCAGATTTGGATATGATCCAATAATGTAATTGTAGCTCAAAAAGGGTTGTTGGGCAGTTCTATTACAACAAGTCAATAAATGAAAAACACTAATAATGTAAATATCTTTAAGTTATACGACTGACTTTTATTCAATTTACTTTAATGTTTGGAGTAGATAGCTTGCTATTATATCCGGTATTATGAACCTTCCTACAGAGAAAATGGCTCGTTGTTTTATCAGAAGTAATGAAGGGTTCTGCCAATATCAAGATTATACCATCAATTATATAAGCATAATTTTAGAAAATTTGTCAAAATGTTAAAAAGGCAATTGGATAAGATACAAAACATATTTTACATAGCTAAATGAGCATTGTGTTCTTATTAGAAATTACATACTAATATTACTGCACTTGTGAATAAGTTTCATTAAAACAAAATACATTTAAATATGTATATAATGAACATTGAATGTTTACACATACATTATTATTAATATATTATACTGATCAAGTTACACATTGTTTGCTACATCATCAATAAAAATTTTAATTTGTGAGTTACACTCTTCAACTCATGCTTACAGGCCAATTCATCTAGGCATTCAATCCCACAATATACTGACAATTGACTTTGAATCTCTTTAAATAAATAAGTTGTTTATAATTCAATAATAAATAGAAAAAAAGCATAGGATTCAAAAGACAAACATGGTTACGATTTTGCAATGAAGAAATTTAAAAAGTTATTTGAAACAACAAGAAAGTCTAATAAATACCTTGAGCCAAAAAATAATAGGAGGGCTACATATAAATATAATAAATGAGAGAGAAAAGGAGAGAAACCGAAGTGAATATTAGTGAAAGTGTATAAAATCATTGGAGAAATACATTATAGAATCACAAAGACATCTTCAAAGTGCTACAAATGTTTGGTGATGAATAAAGAGGCAAAGTGAACAGGGACCTAATATTGGAGAACGATAGAGAAAACATTACACGACTCCATGGATCAATGACAATCATAAACCAAACAGAAACATGGCCATGGACATGGAAATACAACAGGGGAAGAAATAACAGTAGAAGAACTTATTCTTACTTATGAAAGCTAAAAATAGGAAAAAACCCTACACTAAAACAGAATTTGTTAAATAAGGAAGAAGGGAGATTAAAACAACTTTAGTATATCTCTTTAACAGAATATGGATAGAAAATATATCTCTATAGAATGGCAAATTGGTTTGGTAACAAATATTTATAAATAGAGAACAAAACATGTTGTAACACCCACAGAGGAATAACACTATACCAGCCACTTCAAAATAACTTACCAACATTGTAAGGAATGGAATGAATAAATATAATGAAACTTTGTAGGCAAAAAGCTACATGGCTTCAGGAAGGGGAGAAACACACAAGATGTCATCTACTTAACACAAACAATATTAAATGAGAAAAAATGTATAATACTATTTTATGGATTCTAAAAAGGATCTTGATATGGTGAAAAGAACTAAAATAAGAGAAATCATCAGAAGAATTAGAGGAACAAATTATGAAAGAACAACAGACTCAAAATCACCAAAAAAATAAACCTATTGTAAAACTCAAAATCACAAATTACTTGCTACAAACTGAGACCTGAGATAGGGATTTGGTATATCACGCAGCCCGTACAACATATATGGTACTTAGTTTTATAAAATAGAGTGGCAAAAGTCAACAAAACAAGGGACATAATTCAATAAGAAACAAACAAAACAAATAACACAAGTGATGCAGTTTATAGATTATAAAATAATATTGACCAAGCCAGAAAATGAACTGCAAGTTGCAGCCAATAAATTAAACAAACAATGTAGATATATGACAAGAAAATTTACTTGAAGAAATTCAAGCCAATGGCCTTCTAAGATTATTGTTGAGGGACAAATAACAGAATAAGAATCAACCCTCCAGTATTTGGGCAACAACATTGAACAAAATTTAAATATTTTTGAAATTCAATACAGTAAATAGAGTAATGGAGTAAAGATGTTTTGGAAGGCTGGCTTCACTAGCTGATTTGCTTAACTATGCCATGTGAAGTCATTAAGGTTAAGCAATTCAAGACATTGTGTTCCTGGATGGGTTGCCATCTGAGAATGGTGCCAAAGCTCTGACAGAAGGGATAAAAGGCTACAACTCCTAATGACTAACTAGATTAACTACATGTTTAATACCAGTAGGTTGCTGTAGTAGAACATTGTTACAAATTGTAACAGAAAGAGTCATGTCACACAAAACCAAATTAAGAAGCTACAATATAGACATACTGATGCTATTATATGACTCATAACCAAAGACAGGAAGTGGCTTGTAGGAGGCTTCCTAGATATCTCCTCAGCTATACTAGACTGGATTGATAAAGAAACAAAATGATGGAGGAAGGAAAAGATTTGATACAAGCTCAACAGAGATAGTAAAAAAGAATCAAAAGAAATGACTAGAGAATATTAAAAGAAAGAAAGAAGTAAGATTCCCAAAGACTGGTATAAAATACAAGTCACAAAGGCAGATTAATATAGGAAGTCTGTAGAAAGGAAAGGATCATGTAGGAACACTTGTGTAATTTTCTTTCCAGGCCTACTACTGGCCCAGAAAGAGGTCTCAGACCTTTCATCATGTGTTGGTAGTGGTGGTGGTGGTGGCGGTGGCGGTGCTGGTGGTGGTAGTGGTGGTGATGACGATGATGAAGTTGAGACAAGTCAACTTAAAGAAAGTATTGGCAGGGAGAGGGGGTGCCACATACAGTAGTGCTAAAGAAACAGATCACCTTTCTCACAGTGGTAATCTGCAATATAATTCTGAAAATACACCACTTGATTTGCAAAAATCAAGTGAGTTATGAAGGTAATGGAATCAGAAACATCATATTATCGATATAAAATATATTATTACCAATTTCTACTAATATTTGTTTAAAATTTTTGAAAGCCGATTGGATTAGGAAAATATAGAATGTCCATTTTCTTTAGATGATGTAGATTTCTTTGAGCACAACAGTAGTGTGTTTCTGATTCTGTCTTATTTCTTAGGGTTTGGTTTTCTGTTTCCAAAGCAAGATATTTTCCAACATTTTCACGATCTTGATCCTTTTTCCACTCCAAATTGTCGTTTTTGGCTTTTGTTAAATCTTTATCCATTTTAAAATTTATAACACTTGACTCTGAAACTCACTAAGCCCTACACCACCATTGGTTTGAATTACTTGCCTGGAAGTATCATTTAAACCCAAATTTCCCAAAGATTCCCCACCCCCCTTGGAAAAACTGTTGTGCCATTTTTTATGGATATCACTTAAGAATGACAAATAATTTACCTCATATGTATAAATGTATAATTGCAATATCAATGAAAATATAATAACCAATAACTTAACTTTGTGGCATACATAATGATAAAATGAGTCTATTGATAATGATCAGAAATGTCGAAACAAAAAATAATTTAATTACTTTAACAGAATATCATTTTGCAGTAGTTGACACTGGAGTTGAGCATCTGACTCACACACACCATCATCACCACAATCACGGGCGTAAGGAATATTTATTACATCTGAATGAATCTCTCTTACAACTGGACAGAAACGGCAGAATTTGTCAGCATCTGTTATGTATAGAAGATAATATGGATTATTTCAAGACAGTGTATATAGATACAAATTGAAATATTAATCACTAATATAATCTTCTTGTGGATTAATCAATACCTTTAACTGGAGATGATCCATTCACCCACAATACAATTGATTCTTTTTTTCCCTTATACTTCAATCTCTGGGTCACACCAATTGTAATATCATTTAAATCATGTATGGAGTCAGATTCTCTCTGAGAGAAGAAAACCCAAGTTTATTGCTTTACATCTACTTCATATTCATTTGCACTCATTTAAGTTTTTCACAGATTAGAAAAAATACCTTTTTTTGAATAATTATTTTCTCACAATGAAAATGTGATTTGTTGGCTAAAACAAAACTTTTCTCTGGAATGGGAAGGAAACGATGAAAGTTGGTATCAACATCTATCTCTCGAACAACCTCTGTAAGCATGAAACAGAACTTATTGTAATAAATACAAATCAAAAGATAATTCAAAAGAAATTAACAAAGATTCTTACCAATATCATTTGGCACATTCTCACTGCCTTTATAAAATATGCATGGTTCCACCATAAAGCTTGTGTGACTCATATTAAATTGCTTGGTATAACTTCGTATATAAGAATGTAATTCAATAACTGGATAGCTCCTTAATATAACAACATGTTCCGATAAATATGAACCTATGGCCACATCTGAAAGTAGAGCAATCTTCTTTGTTAATATAAAATAGATTCAAAAAGACAATGTTATGTTGCATAAACTATGCTCAAGTCATAGAGATCTTCAATTTATTGCTGTGACATGGAAGACAATGACAAACTATCATTAACTCATAATTGTTGAATGACAGCATGTGGACAGGGAGAAAATTTTTGATCACAAGACATATACACGCTGCTGTGGATGACACATGGCCAAAAGTCTTTTGCGCCATTTTAAATGGATTCTAGAATATACTACATATCAGTTTTGAATATTATCTTCATAATTTTACAGATTCAATAAAAATTAATGATAAAATATTTCCAATTCTTGTAACAACTTATATTTAAAACTTTAATTTATGTATGTTTTTAAAATTAGTTAATATTTTAATGTTTAAGTATAAGACAAAAAAATTTTATTTCAGCTAATGTTGAAGAAAAAATCAATGTTACATAACAATAAATTAATACCCCTATCCCTTTGTAACAAAGCGAAACACTACCTAAAATGCCCTTCCCCCCTCTTTAGCGTTATGTAATAATGGATGGCTCCTTTTCATGAGTTCCTTTTATATACATAACATAATTTACATATTTTGTATTTTTAGCTCTCTTTATGAGCTCATATTCTTAGCTCTTATTTATTTAACAAAAAGTAATTATTTCATGAATTAAAATATTTTCAAGTGCTTTTATCTTCTTTTTCTGCACTTCAAGGATTAGGCAGCTGCTTGTTCCATCTTCACATATCAAACAAGTGATTTTATTTTAAAGCATATTTATTAATTTTTGACTACTTTTTAAAGAAAACTTCATTAAAAAAATATGCAACTCACCAGTGAACTTATTTTCATCAATGTCTGCAGGTCTGGAGAAGCTTATTCCAAAACCTCTTATCGATTTATGTATATCACTAGCTGCAATTCGCTGACTGGGTTTGGAACTTAAACCATTTGGAGCACCATTGAAAATGTATACCACTCCTGATTCTTCATATGGGGCACCTACAGCAATGTCTGCCACAATGAAGAAAAAACTTTCAAAACGTTACCCAAAATGTTTTCTGATATAAAATATTTTGATACAAAGTGAACAATTAACTGAAGAAATACAATAATAAAACTCTCTCAGCTCTTATTTGAATGCAAATTGCCAATGTTTTTATGAATATATCTACAATTAATTTTATATTTTGCTTCTAATTTAATATTTTGCTTAATTTAGAACTGCAAGAAATTATGTTAATAAATCAAAGCTTGAAGAAAAAGAACTTTCTGTAGTATTATTTTATAAAAGTGATAAAAATTGAAAATCACCCAATAGCTTAAAAAAATATAATTCATTGACAAAGACATGATGTTTAAGAGATATGCCTATAATTTCACTACATTTTCTCTTTTCCAGAACTTAAAAGAAGTCATACAAACTTTTCTCACTTATAATTAAACAATCATTATCATCATCATCATCATCACTACTGCCAACAATTAAGCAGGAGGAGGACAAAAAAGTTTGTATCACTTCTTTTCAGATCCGGATATTGCAGTATTTGTGAAGATCGTTTTTGTTAAAATATTTAAACTATTGCAGTGTTATATGAGAGTATTTAATTTGTTGTTCCAGAGCATTGTGCAAGCCACTTTATGGAAAATCTTTTTGTGTAGTTTTGTATGGTAACATTTTTGCTGACACCGCAAGTCACTATCAGCCTACATAATACTTTGATTGAAGAGATCCCTTTTCCAGCCAAAGTACTGAGCGATTTAAGAAAAATATGGAATCATTTGAATGGAATTTGTATGACTGAAAATTGTATTTCAGACCACCTGTTTTCAGTAATTACTTATTAAAATTTTAATGTGCACATACAACCAGCACCATATTAGGCAGCAACACCACCATCCAAAACACAGAAATGATGCATCCTAGGGCCTTAGATCCAAATTTTCATGTCCCTTACGGACATGAGTAGAGTCCAGACGTTTGGCGAGACGTTTTTGCTTTTTCTTGGCTATTTTTAGCTTCTGATACCTTTGTCCTCATCATTTTACTTTTTTCTCCTCGCACCGATTCTGATCAAGTTGGATATATACCTGTGAGCCTGGACTACATGAAGAAATATATGTTTTGTTGTTCTGTGGAAGCAGAGGCAGTATTCAACATCTAAATGAAAAAGAAAGATGAGGCCAGTCAAGATTTTTTTCATTGATGCTGACAGACTTTGATCACACATACAGAATTATAAATTATTCAGAAAATTTAATTTCCATAACATAGATGTTATGTAATTGAAGTAGGAAGTATATTTCTTGTTTATTACAAAAATTTCAAAAGATGGTAATAAAAATCTTTGTTTGTCGCATTATTTTAACACATCACAGTGCTTACTCTTTTTTCAGAAGAAACACATCCATTATTTGTTAGAAATATTTTCTCAAAAAAAAAAAAAAAAAAAAAAATTGTTTCAGCGATGACACAGCACTGCAATATAAAATCAAATGGATTTTGTCAAATAATGCGCATTACCAGAAAGATTTCGGCATTTTGGCGAATGACAGTTTTTCGCTACCAGCCCTAGCATAGGCCTTGCGCTAGTGGATGGGGGTACAGTAATGAGATTAGCCGCATACGCTAGACACAACGGGACTCGTATCGACACTCCATTATTAAAGTAAAAATAATAAAAACATGTTATTTCCATCACGCTCTATAAAATGTATGCAAAATTCATGAATGAGCGAAATGTAGGATATTTAAGTTGTGTTTCTTTTGAGAATGAAAAAGAAACATGAAGAGTAAGTCGAATGCTAGAGCATAGTAGTTTCCAGGATAAAAGACCATTCCGGAAACACAGTTTTCCTTGTGTCGAGAAACCCGTATTCCTATAAAAAAAAATTTTCTCTTCATCTAAAATTCCCAGAGAAGTAGTTGTATTACGCACATCGTTCAACACATCTTATCAACGAACACTCAGTTTTGACGAGATACTACAATCCATCGGTGAGAGACGTTCATGAAATTAATAAGTAGCAGTAAGTTTTAATTTTTTACAATTCTAATTTTTAAAGTCCCACCCTGAAAATTTTAGGAGTAAACCCAAATATTCATTGTGATGAGCACCATTTTTCTATTGAATTAAAACACTGCATTTTGAATGACCACTTTTTTCTAATGTTTCGAGTTTTCATAATAGAGTGAAATTTCGTTCACACGTTTTTGTAAGTCTCGGATAAATTCCTATACTTCCCATGTTAAATTATTTCAGATACTATGCATTTGACGTTTTTCTTATACGTTCATAATGAAAGTTTTTTTAGGAACGTTATAACGTCCATAACGAAATAGGTGACCAATACGTGAGAACATTTACGTTATCGTAGAGGAATCCACGGAATTTTTGTGTTGAATTCATTATTCAAGCTGTTTAATTTCATCGCTACGCAGGGCGTTTCAACTCTCCATCGTTTTGGGAATTTTGGACAAAACTACAGGATAAACAAACAGGTGCGCTAGAGTCGTCCGGTGTGGCGTTGCAATATTCACCAATATTGGACAATAAAAATTCGGCGCATTTAAAGGAAATATTGAGACACAAGCGAGGGAATCATAGACTTATAATGATAATTTGATCTATGCCATACGAGCGTTGCGTTGACGCACGTCATCTAATGCTGATGACCTCAGCGGCGTGAATGCCTACGCACAAGTCACATAACGCGCGTAGAAGATAACCGAAACGGCACACGAGTGCTCTTTGCAACGCGTCTCCTAGCGGTCGTCGCGCGTTGAAAGCTAGAAAACGCGCGTTATCATGATTAGGCTCGAGCTGTGGGCAAAATACACGTCACCAAAACAACTCGTTTGCAGTTACACATAAGATACAGTGTTAATCTACAACACGCGTTAAGCGACTCGTGTGGGCAGGCATCCGTCTACGCCATCAGCGTTAGGTGACGCGCGTCAACGGAACGCTCCTGTGACATAAGTCTAAAGGACTGGCTGCATAACGTGTAAATATCAGTGCTATTTTTTCCACTGGGCGAGACTATGCCTAGCCCGCATGTCTTTTAAGAAACAATTAATGAACTATTTAGCTTCCAGAACAATAACCGGTACTTCAGCTTCGGGTCTCGATCAGATTTTTGTCCAGCTTTCGTGATCCACTGAGCAAATGCTGAGATGACCCCTTGTTTAGAAGCATTCTGCTCTTAGCTAGGATCCGACCCTTTGCTAGTAGTGGTAGCAAAGTCACTGTAGTCGGGAGCGGAGGGGGGGATATATTTTGTTAGCGATTACAAAATAAACATAAAATCGCGTTAAACGGTAATAAGAAGATATATATTATATATAATATATACTTTAATCAGTATATATTAATATATATAATATATATATATATAAATATATTAATCATCCTAATAAATGAAATTCAATAGTTTTAAACTTTTAATGATGTTTTAAAATCCAGATCACAAATAATCTTTTTTTAAAAAAAAAAACACAGTAAGGCGTGAAAAAATTTCATAAAAAAATGTGGTAAAAAAGTTACTAAAGCATCGTGTTTTAAAGAGGTTCAGAACAAAAACAAATTTCCTTCAATTACGTTTCAATGGATCTGCAATATATCACTGCCCCCCCCCCCCCTACTGGAATGACATGACATTTGTATGCGACAGTAAAAATGGCATAAATTGAAATGAAAGGTAAGTGGTTTTTGGATTTGATAATTGGTAAATGTGGGAAAAATGTATTTTGAATGGTATTGCACTTTGTTTGCAAAATCAAAATAATGAAGATGAACCATTATGATACCTGTATGATAAATATGCTCATTTAGATTTAGATTTATTTAGTCAAAAAACAAAACAAAAAAAAACAGTATGTGATATAAGGGGGAGAAGATCATTTATTGCAAAAGATTGTGTGGATGACATTTATTTCATTGTGCCATTCATTAAGAGGATGCCACAAAGTATGTCCACATAATAAATGCCTTTGACAATAATTTAATTATGTCAATGTAAATCATTGCCAGCCTAGATAGCTGATGTTGCTAAGTCTGTTTGGCTGTGGCTACCTCAGCTTGAAGGGTCCCGGGTTTGAATTCCGCTCCAAGCATGGATGTTTGTGTGTGTTCTTGTTGTTTTTATATGTTCCCCTTACAGTTACCCCAATCACAGTGGTTGTTGTGTTACAATTACTCCCATAAAAATCACAGTGGTTGCTCTGTGACCAAGCAGTTACAAAGTGACCTTAAATAATAATAAAAAATTAAAAACAACATTAACAAGCATTGGAATAGTCATCAAACGAAATAAAAGATAAAGGTATTTTTATATCAATAGAATGTGCATTGAAAACCTTAACTTCAGCTCAAATAAACTGGGCACAAATTGAAAAGAAAGAGTTTTAAAACTATAAGAATGCTCAGAGCTGACAAAAGAGACAACATCTGCACAGATCTTATTTCTTTGGAAAAATGGATAGAGTACTCTAATATATTATGGAATAAGAATGCAAAATATATGTGAAGATTATAAACTTAAAATATTGACTAATAAAACAAAAGTGATGGCTTTTCATGGAAAATATCCTCTTAGATCAATGAAAGTTTAAAATGGGAAGGCTGTAGAGCAAGTGTCCAGTTTTAATTACTTGGGATGTGAATTATCATTTGTATTTGATGACAATGTTACAAACAAATAAAACAGGTTTAAATATATTTGTGGGGCAATTCATAGCATTCCTGAAACATAAAACAAGAACTTAAGTTCTATAAGACAATGGCAGTACCAGTTGTGTTATATGGAAGCAAGACCTAGACCCTCTTAAAAAAAGAAACAAATAGAGAGCCACAGAAATGAGTTTTTAGAGAGCTGTAAAAGGGTTAACTCTAATAACAAAATTAGGAATGAAGAAATACATAAAGAGTTAGAGATATATGGTCTCGAGAAGAAGATCCGTAATACTAAAATGAACTGGTGCAGTCATCTGTAGCGAAGAGCGGAAGGCAAATTCCTTGACTGGCAAGGGTCTACAAACCAGCTGGCAGAAGGAGTATTGGTCGTCCGAGAAGATGGTTTCCAGAACACAAAGGAGAGGAAGATGAATAAGAAGAGGAAGAAGAAGAAGAAGAAGAAGAAGAAGAAGAAGAAGAAGAAGAAGAAGAAAGAATTGTAAAGGGATAACATTTCTACCAACAACATTAACACTTTTTGTTAACTTATTAAGAAACAGACAGAACGAATATAAGGAGACATACCTCAACCAAAGGCATGTATACAAAAATTCATTTTTCCAATTACCTCCTCTTCCATCTTGATCGATATCTCCTAAGGAAGCCATAGAAGTACCAAATCGCCCACCAATTGCAAATCCAGTTTTCTTTTCTTTTTCTTGAAGGAAATACTGCACAGTATATTGATACTGAAATGTAAATACAAACTATAGGTCTTGAAATATAAAGATGTTAGAAGAAAAAAAGAAGTCCTGATATAAATAAGTTACCGTAACTGATTTTGTAAAAACATAAATGCAGCCTTCATCACCATGAAGAGAAAAAAATGGGGCTCCAATAATTAAATCATCAAATCCATCTCCAGTCACATCAGCAACAGCCAGAGTGCTTCCAAAATATTCTCCAAAACTCTGACCTTTTTTCACATCTATAAGTTTAACGTCTTTGTGTCGATTTCCAATACTATAAATTGCAACCTGTACCAAATCACATTATGTTTTAAAATTCAAAATAGTACCAAGGGTGAAAAATATGAATATTCTAAGTTTTGACACACATAGTACTTAATACGTTAATACTTAGTTTTAAACAGTTCATTGTTTAGTAGCCCTGACTAGCAATTCCACCCACGATCGCTTGGATTATGGACAGATATTCTGAATGCAATATGAATGATCTTTAATTCTTAATAACTACCACAATACAAAACAATATCCATAACAATTTCCATGATTTGTGCATTCTAATTGACATGTAACCAGGGCAACAAACTAACTGTGGTGGTAGGTAAAGGGATTGAAGCTGTTCAAAAACTTAGTATTAGTATCAAAAATGTGTTACCAGTTGCTAATGTGAGATTGTGTTTTGAGAAAGAGATCCTACGGGAAATTTAAGAGAAAAGGAAAGTACAGTTCTGGTAAAGTTATGGATTATGTGTCAAAGGCAGATCTAGCAGACACAGGGAGAGGGAATAGATTTTTGTTAAATAATAAATATACAATATTATACTATATATTATTTTTGGAGGGTATATATGGTACTATACGCTATATATAGTATGTTATTGTGCTATATATGTGCTATTGTATAGTACCATATATATGGTATATATGGTACTATACAATATTATTGTTATATATATAATGTTTCAACAGTTTTTTCTTGTTTCTTATTTAACCTACACTCTTTTTATTTTAATTTTCTAGACCTTTTAAGGGGGGGCATGACCCCCTGGGCTCCCCTGGATTTGCCACTAATGCATGTAGGCAGTAGAGAAGAAAAATGTGAAATTGTATGCAGCAAGTTTTGTGGCAGTGAAAGTGAGGGCAATATTGAGAGTACTGAATATAGTAGCTAAACTAAAATATATTCAGTCTTCCGTGCCTAAATAGTATATATATATATATCAAACATAGTACCATGAATTTGAATAACATTGTACTAAAACAAGTACATACCAAACCTTTCATATCATAGGCACGAGGTGCACCAGCAACATGCAATAATTCTTTTTGAGAAAAAAAATAACCAGCAGCTACTTGATATCCTATAAAAGAAATTTTAGCAATTACATTAAGAGAGAACAGTTCAGACTTCTCTTATCGTTTTCAATTCTTCAAGTTTCAAAAGAAACACACCATGAACTTTCTTGATTCTTTAAAGTTTGAATGTAATTTCTACTTCCTGTAGGATATGAAATTTACAAGTTCATTATGGTATTTTCACATAATTTGCAACAGAAAAAGAAATATTAATCATATTATACAAAATATTACTCTAATTACATTCTGCTAACAATGAGAGAGGGCAGGATGTATTTTGTGCTTTCCTTACTATTCTACCAAAAGGTTGGGAGAAAAATTCATGTTTTATAATCCATCAGGGAAATAGTTGATACATTTAATTTGTGTAGCTCAGCAGCTTCAACATAAAAAGTAGCATTTTAGATAATCATTGAAGAGAAAATAATTCAAAATTCTAAATAATGTGTTTGTCAAAATTACTCACAAAAACATCCATGATCAAGACATTTACGTCTTTCAATAAATGTAATGAATTAATCATAATTCAAATAAATGCATACTCCTCCAATAATTGCCTTTAATTTTTCTCACAATGAGTTTGGCATTCAGAATGCAAATTCAGTTTCGCTGAATCAAAGAAATATTAAATACCAAATAGACATTTTCATTCTCCCAGACACATAATATGGTTAAAGTTAAGTAATGATACAAAAAAATCTGTGTTTAAATGAAAGTACATACTTTGAGAATCACTAATACCCTAAAGGCATCAAAGGGTCATTGGGCATCTATATCTGATCATGAATTGGTGATTGATAATCAAAATCTCATTTGATTACAAAAAATATTAAATCAACTTGGTAATAAATAGTTTATGATTGCAACAAAACATAACAATAAATTACAAATTTGCTCTTCTCTTGTATCTATCATTCATACTTAGGATTAAGGGATTAACTAGGTTGGTGCTAGCAGTATCCTGTATGGTACCCCTGAAGTAAGGAGATGGATATCAGCAAAGAATAAAACAAACTGCACAAAATCATTGCCTTTAAGACCTTTACGTGATTTTCTTTGTGTTATGATTATGTATGATATGTTATACAGACTAACACAAGAGGGTCAATAGAGTCAACAATTCATCTAAAAGGGGTCATTGAACGAAAAAGGTTGGGATTCCTTGATCTAAATCATACAAAAGATTATCCCCAAAATGGATGTTAATCAATTGATCTGGATGAATTAGATGCCCAGAATTTGAAACAGATCTTTTAATGTTTAGGAGTACCTTTCTGTATTGACATCCATAGAAAATTTTGAAAGTGTTCTCCAAACTTTTTCTTTGAAGTTTTCCCTTCAATAGTTAAGTAAATTTGGAGTAGGTCGAATGTTCATCTAAACCACTGGATTTTCTAATGTTAAATATGTGATGTCCTACATCCTCATCATCGAAGTCAGTGTTTCTTTTTTATTTTTATCCTGTTCATAAATATTAAAAGTATCAATTCTTTCTTGTATAGTTTTTTATAATATTAATAGGTTTCACGTGATTTTGAGTCAATTTTATAAACGTTTGCTCAAAAATTGCTTCAAAGTTTTTTGTAAAATTTTTGTAACAATAGAGAACAATACATAGAATTCTATAGCACTACTACCATTTTCATTAAACCATTTGAATTTCCAAAAATTATACATTCATATTTTTGCAAACCTCTCATGCATTGATAATATTTACATTATAGGTGTATTAATAATTTAATACTGTTTTAGATTCAAAAGCTTTAAACAGCCTTTATTTAAGTTTCTTGACACCCCAGAAGTTTTAGAGAAAAAGGGAGCCAAATACAACACATTTACAAAATATTTAAATGTTTTCTCAAAAACACCTCCCAAATTTTTCCTGGTAAATTTCACATAAATGTTTTTTCTATTTTTAAATATTTCAAAACACTTATTTCATTTGAATGATTTAGGGACCAAAAAATTGAGAAAATGTGAGAAATGTATTTTTTATCAATATTTTGGCAAATATTGATAACAAATTTATAGAGGTCAAAATACTTCAAAAAGGTTCGTTAAAATTTAAAAAGGTTATAAAAATGTATATTAATAATATTAGCGGAAATAAAACTAAATTAATTGTTAATTGTAATCTCTTAAATAATATATTCTATATATTTCTATGGGGTTAAACCATTTTGAGAAATTTGTTTATTAATGACTGCAAGAATGAATATTTCTAAAGAATTTTTGAACATAGCTGTCATGTCTTAACAATGAATGTTGTTGAATAACATAAAGATCTATAGATTTAGCTTTTCTAAGCACACTATTAGCCCTGTATGCAACAAAAAGGTCTATATAACTTATATAGTGGCTATAGGTAACACTAGCAAATAGACAAGATGTGTTGTGATTCAAGTAGTTTCATGAAGAAAGTTGTGCACAAGATAATTGAATTATTAAAAGAAGTTAATTTGCAATATTGTTATATTATTTTTCGTAACTGACAGAAACACTAACTGAACGTGTGTGGTACATTGTAGTTCTATTTTCTTATTATTCTTATTTCAGTAAGTTTTTAACATAGGAGAACATAACTTTCAAAGTAAGAAAAAGTAAGTAAGTAAAGGAAGAACATAACTTTCAGTGTAAGCAAATTGATATGGGAAATACCTAAGTTAACAAAATGCCTCAAATAAAAAATAAATTATTAAACTCACCAAAGAAGTTAAATTGATCAATGAATTGATTGAAAACAAACTCATCAATGAAACCAATTTTGGTATAAGGTCCAAACTCTGTTCTGGGAATATCACGTCTCCTCCTAGATGCAATTTGGGTTTTTGGCTCCCTGGCATATTCCAAAACACCACCTTTAACAAACATATTTATCATTTTAATGAAAAGTATTTTGAATATTCTTATCCATTCTGGTTTAAATCTTGTTAACTTTTACCTGACCAATATCTTCCAGCTCCTGGAGCACCAATCAATAATGAAATACTCTCCTTGAAACAGAAAGAGATATATCATTGACAGATCGCAAATTACAAACTATAAATACTTGTTAAGGTAATATTGCAATCCCAGACAAGCACTGGGAGTCACTGACAATTCTAATAGTTGAAAATCATGCAACAAATAGAAAAATGAAATGTCTCTTAACACATTTCCAGTTCATAAATTTTAGAGGTGAACAAAGTCAATGATTCTGAATGATTATTCTAAAGGTAGAAATTTTTTAGTTGGAAAATAGATGAAAAAAATTATTATTCAATTCACAGACACAAGATCTCATAAGAAGTTTGGTTTTACATCAAGAAAAAGGTCTTCATAGAAGTAGAGAGAAAAAGTATTCAAATATTTCAAAATAAGTGAATTGTCAAATGAGGTAAGTAATATTTGTCTTAATAACAAAATAATTATTTTTAAAGACATATGCACATATTATTTAATACTATCAATATCAATATTGTCAATTAAATAACAAGAACTTTATAATTAGAAATTAAGCATTATTAAGAAATGGAATGAAAATCGTGTAAGAGTCATGAATAATGACCAGTGAATTTTTAAACCCTTAAAAATAAATAAATTAATTCTTAAGAAAAGAATTACCTCTGATTGTGGAGCGATGTAAACTGACATCCCAATTTGACTTTTGTGGTATATTCCATAAACTGAGAAAGTCAAGTAATCAGAGAAAAGAATTAGTAGAAATGATTGTATAATGTAACTTTAACGATAAAAAAACAACTCTGTATTTGGCATTGTTAACAAAAGTCTTCTTTCTTACATATTATCAACTTAATAAATTGAGTTTACTTTCATTATATATTGCTGTTGTTATTGATATTTCTAATGTTTTGCAGGGGGTGTTTGCTTCAAAAATCACAAGGAATTTTTATAAAATAAAAAAGGTTAAATAAAATAAAAAAGGGCAAAAATAAAACTATTAAAAAATGTTTTGCCCAAAATTTTCTTCATCATGAATTGGTAATGGTTTCTAATATAAACACATTTACTGTTTCAATAATCCTATTTTCCAAAAGGGGATGGATATATGTATCTTATTATATTATAAGTATTTTTATATTATTTATATATTATATTATATGCATTTTTCTACCTTAATATATTATATTTGGATATTTGGTAAATTATAGATTTTGGCACTATTGATTATTCTGTTGATTGCAACAAAATAATTAAATTTACTAATACAATTGTTAATTTATTTAGTTATTTACTGTTAATAATTAATTTAAACATTCTTGTTTAAGAACAAACCAATAGAGTTCACTGAAATATGTTTGAATGTATCCTTCCGTCTATATGCATTACAGTGTGGTTACACTCATTATACTGTAGCAATCAAAAGTGTTGTTATTAGAAACCTCTGCCCCACATTTATTAATACACCATCTGATTTACGTCGATAAAAGGCAAGTGGGCATTTTTTCCCCAATTTAATAATTCTAGGTCAATGCGTGTAGAGTAATGGAAGACCCCAGGACACATACAGGAACCCAAGCATTGAGTTCCCACATCCTGAAATTCTCGTTCTGCAAATGCATTTTTAATTTTATTATGAACTGTACCTCCATTCATCATCAAATTCGCGATTTCTTGATAGGATAATTCAGTGACACATTTCATAAAATGATTCTGTTTGTACTTTATCACTCATTGCCCAGACAACAAATAAATAGATGTATAAAAGAATTTCAGTGGCAGATTCAGGGGGGACCATGGGAGCCGTGGTCCCCCTTGTACAAAGCCAACATTTTTTGTTGTTGGAATTTTACTTTATTCAAAATAATTATCATATTTTGGTCATCACATTCAGAGCAGCTTTCTTATTATGAACATACTTGTACTTTTTTTACTTACATTAAAAAATATTACTTCAATAATATTTACAAATATTCCAAACTAAATCACCTCCAAAATAATTTCAGGACCCGCCCCTGCATAATATACACAAAGAAACTTACATGTAATACCATTGTATGTTTTACCATCTCTATCGTAGACCTCTGAAGGTAAGGTATACTTGAATTTCGGAACAGATTCTGATTCATATATAGAAATATAACATATGCCAGACATAGCATATGTATTAAATGTTTTCTTAAGTGAGTGTTTTGGGTTCAAGTTCTGCTGATTCTTCCATCGGTGACCACATACCTATCACAGGTAATCGTTGGATTAAAGCAAATTAAAAAGAACTGGCAAAACTAAGGAAAGAATTAAAAGCTCACCACCACTTTGCCTTGGGAGCCATGTTCCATAGCCATTGCTCCACCAATCCACGAGAAGTTTTTTAAGTCCTTTACTGAGGGATTATCATCTCGAAGTCGGTTAACTATTGAAAATACAAGAAATTAAGCTATTTGGAAAGTATTGTTATTTGTCATTATATTTTAATACAAGCTCAATTACTCACATGACTTAAGTTAAAGAAATAAATAGTTATTATTTGGTAATGGATTTTGTACGTGTAATGAAAACTTATAATATCAAATCAAATTGTCCGAAACAATGTAGAATGTCAATGTAAAGTGTGTTTTGATTATGTAATGTAATTATTTGTTGATAAAGTTGGTAATTTAAAATAACTGTTTAAAACTTCAACTAAATAACTATGTTTAGAATATAAGTCACTTCTGAATTGTGAGCGAAGCATAATGGAGGTACAAAAATGTACATTAGTCTCACCATTTCTATCCAGTTCTACTTCTGTACAAGCTCCAAATATTGTACATCGATAGGCTACACCTGGTTCCATCACTCTGTTTCCCAAAATTGTGGAATTAGCCCTAGGAGCTCCTATTTGAATCCTACAAAATTTAGTAATTCGGCTATTAGTAAAAATAAAATAATTGTGATATTCACAGTAACATTCCTTATAAGAGAATTCTAGCTTTCTTAATACAAATATATTTAAAAAAAAAAAAAAAGGAAAAGAAAAAAAAACGAAAAACACACACACACACTTACCAATTTTTATTTAGAAGAAGAGAAAATCCAAAATAACTATTACGCCCTGGCAAACTTTCCAATGGTCTACTATAGATAATTGGAAATTCTGTGCCTATATTAAAACATTCTATATACAATCTTCCATACAAAAGCACTGTTACAAGGAACACCAGTTTCATGTTCAAGAAGATAAATTTTGAATTGCAAAAAGTGATACACATTTTCTCTCAGAGCAGTAGCAAAAGGTGAAGTACTCTATTAAAGGAAAGGTAATATGACAACATTTCCTGTCACACCCTTCTCCAAGAACACTTCCTGTGAGTAATCACTCAAGGATAGTGGGGAGAAAAGAAAAGTAGTGGGGGGAAAGATAAAGAAATCAGAGCATTTTCAGTTCTCACATTTAAGATTTGCTTCCAAAATGTTTGAATGTTTGTTTTATACACATGTCCTCGCACAAGTCACAAAATAGGCCCCTAATACAGTTTCTTTTAGTGAAAACCGTATTCTGTCAAAGTAACGAATTTTTACACAGAGTCATATACAACTACTTATCTGAGGGGGGTGGCGGAAGTACAGGGGTTGAAACTCCCACTCAATTAAAATTGCGAGTTGACTCTACTGAAATTACAATTGCCACAGATGCGACGTCTCAAATTTTCAGCTCCATTTTTCACGTACGTATGTAAGGAGTTTAGGGTAAGTTATGTAATGCTGCGAAAAATTGATTTCGAGATTTGAACAGAAATACACGTTTTGAGATTCCCTGATACCGAACATTGCTATTTTGACTTTCTCGCGTACCGCTTACGCTGTGGGAAAATATGTATTTTAATGCTGAGCGAATAAACAGTGATTTTTCGACAGAAAAACTCTTTATGCCGGGTCCTGGCAACGAAAAAGTAAGTAAATCTTGTTTCTACATGCACTAAAGTACTTTATCTGTGTAGTCAGAATCTATGTTTTGTGGGCTCTTGACAACGAAAAATAGATTGCAAAACATTTATGTCCGTCTGTGATCAACCAGCTAGCGCGTAAACCGTTCGGTCGATTTTCTCCAAAATTGATATTCTCCCGACGATCTGAACGAACTCGAGGTTCTGCAAGTTTGAAAAAAATATATTTTGATTTTTAATGGATTTTAATGAAACCTCAATAATGTATTCAATTTTTTCTCAAAAATGCCTCCAATTTTGTTGATAAAACTTTGTCCTCGGATAGAGAGAAGAACTTTTAAAGGCTGGCTCAGGTCTCATTTTCGTTTAATTCTTTTGTAATGCAAATGTTCCATTTATTTCGTCGTCTTCCGACAACTACAATAATGAACCCTTCGATAGGCGCGCATAGATCTAAGAGACCAATTGCGTTTAACTCAACATCTAGCTGACTTGAAGACGAAATTGTACATTTCAATCGCAAATAACGCAAAGACTACTCGTTTTGAATAAAAAATTACATTACCTTTTTTAAAGAGCTAATTTTGTGCCACAGATTCTATCTTCAATTTTGTAGTTTTAATTTGTTTTGCAATTTTCGAAAAATCGGAATGTCAACGAAAATAAGGTCTGCAGCACTTCTTAAACGTCCTTCACACCATTGAATAATAAAATTTAATAAAAAAATTGAGCCAATTTTTTAAAAATGTCCCAGGGGCTTCGTATAAAGTACCCCCTAATATAAGAATATCGGTATCAAATCTCAGGGGTCGCGATATCAGCTAGAACGATTGAGGAATTTTAATTTTGGAGAAAATCGGCTGAACGGTTTATGCGCTAGCATAGTGCACAGACGGATGGACGGACAGACGTTTTGCTGTCAATTGTTTTTTCGGTATGGACGCACAAAACATGGATACTGGCTACATGTGTTTAGAGGATTGTTTTCTAGATTTAATAGCTGATTTTGTCCACTTTTTCCTTACTAGGGGCAATAAAAACTTATTGTATCGAAAATTCGCCGTTTTCCGGTGCACGGTTACAATACTTTCTTACGTTAGTTAGTGAAAGAGTAATAAATGAATAACTAAAAGTGATATTAGTAAACAAACGATAAAAAACATTTAACGGGATGGGGGTATTTACTGAATATAGTAGTATTGTTGTTTTGTCTCAAATTTTATTTTTCATGTAGATAAATAATTAATAATCATTGTATTTATTCAACACAGTACCTCAAGCTATTTATTTTTAGGTACAGTAATTTGATTTAACTATCATTAACAATTCTTTTACAATTTCGTCCAATGTTAACCGTATGGAGACATTCTGAAGTATAAATCCATGTCCTGAAAATTGGTGAATAAAAAAAAATTGGTGAATAAAAAAAGTTGATTAATAGTTGATGTAACAATATTTCTGTTACAACTTCTGTAAATGTTACGTAAATTTTCTATTACATTCCGCATCAAGCCGGGCATTTCTTCATGACATTTTTTTAGTCAAAATAATTTACAGGTAGGATTACTATTTGGTTAGCAATATTAAAAAATCAAATCTGTTGTACGTTTACCAGGGCAAATAAATTTCCTATAATTCTGGAGCGAAAATGTCTTTCAAACGATGCTAACCTTGGGTTTTTTTGGAACTCTTATTCGTCAACCATTTATGGTTACACGGTGGAGAAGAGATTATGGATCTTAAGAAAACGTGCGCAGCTTGTACTTCTTTCTCCCTTATAGGTTACACACAATTTTTACTGTTCTTTGACAAAATATATCAACTCGACTATCAACTGTCACAATTTGGCACATAATCTAGTTTGTTATATGTAAGCTGCGGATTTTTGCCTATTTATTTACTTCAATAGAAAATGCAATATTTTGTGTTTCTTATTCATTTTGAGACATTAGGAGCACTATATACGAATTTTATAGTGCCTCTAAATGTCTATTTTGTGTTTAAATGCCGAAACGTTACCTATTCTCGTATTTATTGATCAATATGCAATTATCCTTAACCATTTTTTTTAAATGTACGTTTTTTCGTTTTCATCCTGCAGAATACAGAGAAATTGAACAACTTATCAATAAATGTTCCCTTTTACTGCCACTACAGCGCAGGTATTTCGTATTATGAAATTCGTGTAAAATCTTCGGTATTGGAGGAGTTATTTTTCTTCAAATTTTTAAACATTGTTTCCCATCTAAAGCGGCTCTAAATTTTTTCTTAAAATGTACTCCTCGATTGTACCAAAGGACGGTATAATACTGGCGCCAGTCCCGTACTTTGAAAATACATTTTTTTAAATTGCAAAATTAAATATTGCAAGTGTACAATATTGAATACGGTGATTTTTGTTTTAAATGAAAACTGTTCTAAAAAATACGATTTGAAAAACGTGATTTACATCTCTTTTTAAAAAAGTGTGATTTTTGCATAATTTCTGCTTGAAATTAATTCAAATAACACTAATAATCCTCGAAAACCGTTACAACATTCATCATTTTTTCCTGCAACGAGAACAAAAAACGCTAAAAAGTACGGCGCATGTCTGATTTTTATTGAATACTTTGAAATTTTAAAAATTGTAAATGTTGATTTTATAAAGAAATAAGGCAAGAAAGCATGTGCTGTTGTAGCTCCATTAGTTACATTTGTGTTTTGCATGGCGATTGAAAAAATTATAGAATGTTTTCAGTTATGTTTAAATTAAAGATTAGAAAAAACATCGTATGTGCAGCATTTAAATATCAGCTTGCGTTTAATGAAAAGCCAAAAGGTAGCTACCGCGATTCAGCCTTTATTGTCTTAATCTCCCTGACAATAATAGAAAGGATTTTTACGAGGATTTTTCAGAATATCGATAAAAGCAAACATGAATGTAACTACACTATGTTACCTTAAGAAACGTGGTAAAGAAGTACAAAAATAAGGATAAGAAAAATGTAGTGCAAATTTTAATGCCTATTTCTACAGTTTTTCGTGCCTATAAATCCTCAGCTTCATTGTATGAGTCATCCATTTCATTTGAAGTAGTTAATGCTATTATATTCATTCGTTGTAATAAACATGCACGAAACGCCACTGCCAAGAACAGAAAAATTAATACTTCTCCAGCAGGGGACACTGAACACTAGTAAAGGACGATCCTCCCCTCTCTCATGACAATTCGCACCCTTGTAACTGGTGTGAACTAGTTAGTCATTCATTGTTAACAAATACGGCAAACTCTCAGTGGCATCCAATCATCGCAAAATCAATTCTTTAATCTTATCAGGTCTGCCGCGTGCCCGGCCGACTCTACACATCCGTCTTTCGTGATAAATGAATTATGTGGTTTCCTTTTCCGCTTTCCAATTCCTTCGTCTCTCACCGCATTCTCCTTGGCCTAGCATCGAACGACAGTTTTGAATGAGGCAACGGGCAGGCCGAGGCTCGACTGGTGCAAACTTTTTAAGGGATACTCTCCCTTTTGTCTCTTCACAATGTAACCCTTCTCATAACACAATAACTAACCGTAACTTAATACTTAGTACGTACCATCTTTGTGGTCAGCAACGTCCAGGGCAGTACCCCACGGCTAAAGTCAAGCTAAAGGTGTCTCCTCGTAAAGAGAAGCTAATGAGCTAAAACAGCAACTACTCTCTCGCCCTTAGTTACGGCAACGCAGTATTATATATCGAAATTTCTGTCCACATTAACATATATCAGTCATCATTAATATAACTCATTACAAATCGTAGAATACTAGGTACGAAAACGAATCATTTTGAAGCTAATGTCTCACCACAACTGCGTTTCATACAGCTATAAAATCACCCAACAATGAAGAATTCCCAGAACCAAACTACCGTGTTGCGGTGTGGCGTTGTATTCCAATCCGATATCTCCGGTGAGACTAGCAAACTGAGGGCCAGAAATTCGAAAACGCAAAATTACTTTAAACCTTCTTTTACAATGTACACGATTTTTTAAACTGATTTTTACTTTCTCACATACTGCTTACGCAGAATTAAAAAGTTTTGTAATACTGCGGGGAAAAATGCGATTTTCGACAGAAAAACTTTCATTCACAGGCCATAGTAGCGAAAAGTGGATAAGACTTGTTTATATATGTATATAATTACTTTTCTTTAACATGTTGTGTAGTCAGAATCCATGTTATGTAGGTCCTTGACACCAAAAAATCGATTGACGGCAGAGCGTTTGTCCGTCCGTGGTCAACGCTAATGCCTAAACCCTTCATCTGGTTTTCTCCAAAATTGATATTCCCACATCGATCTGAACGAACTCAATGCCCTGCAAGTTTTAAAGGAAATTTAGATATTTTGGGGGAATACGTAACATAAAGCCTCGATATTCTCAACATTTGCTCAAAAATTGCACAACCTTTCAACGTCTTCCTACAACTACAATAGGGTTCCCACCTCTCCGGTTTTAGACCGGAGACCGGTTTCATCTCCGGTCTCCGGTTTTTGAAAAATTATCTCTTTTTTTTTTTTTTTTTTTTTTTTTTCAAATTTGCAATCTTTTTCAATTTTCATTTCAATCAAAATAATAGATTTTTTCAACTTAAAATTTAAAGCTTTTTCTATTTCATCAGAAATCTGTCCTTTCCTTTCATTAGAAAAGATAAAGAGCAGAACATGGAAAATTGGTCTAGCGATTCTCGGTGTTATCGCCATCCGCGCTGTCCTCTTTTTCTATGCATATCAGACAGAGACAGCATCTAGCGATTATGCGAGAATCGCATCGCGCAACAGTTTCAAGAATAATCCCCCGGGAATGGTATTCGATATCTTCATTTTGAACAAGATGGAATTTTCGTTCGTTTTTTCTTAGAAAATTATTTCTTGGAAACATTAGATAAAGGTACATTTGTTGATTCGTGGGAACTGCACGTCATGTATTACTTGTGCGAAAACTAAGAAACGAAAAAGTATAGCTGGAAAAAAGTAGAATGTTAGCAAGTGTAAACACTATTTGAACAAATGTTATTATTTATAGATCACTAGAATCAAAAGATATGTAAATATGTTTTAAAGAAATAATAAAAGTCGCGTCATTCTTTTTAGATTTCAGTAATTA